CCCTCCGTCCTCCGGGAGGCCTCGGGCAGGGGGCCCGCGGGGGCCGTGTTGGAGCGGGGCGGTGTGTGCTGTGGGTGGCCCAGGGAAGCCACCCAGAGGAGCAGTGAGGACTTGGAGTCCGTGAGGTCACGGTTTGAATCGGCCCTGACCACTTCCCTGCTGGGTGGTCGCGACTGCTGGGAGCATCCGTGTTTCCGTCTGGGAAATGGGAATCAGAACAAATGGTTTAGCTCGGCGGTCGGCAAACTGCGGCTCGCGAGCCACCTGGGGCTCTTTGGCCCCTGGAGTGTGGCTCTTCCACAAAATACCACGTGCATTCCCTAACTGGTTTGGCTCAGTGGACAGAGCATCGGCCTGCGGACTGAAAGGTCCCAGGTTCGATTCCGGTCAAGGGCATGTACCTTGGTTGTGGGCACATCCCCAGTAGGGGGTGTGCAGGAAGCAGCTGATCGATGTTTCTCTCTCATCGATGTTTCAAACTCTCTATCCCTCTCCCTTCCTCTCTGTAAAAGAAAAAAAAAATCTATAAAATATATTAAAAATAAAAAACACCTCGTGTGGGCACGCACGTACAGTGCGATTGAAACGTCGTGGCCCCGGCGCAGAAGTCGGTTTTCGGCTCTCCAAAGAAATTCCAATCGTTGTGCTGTTGATGTTTGGCTCTGTTGACGAATGAGTTTGCCGACCACAGGTTTAGCTTAACAAAGGGGTTTGGCTTAGCATGGAGCATTAGTACATGTTTGATAAACAGTGGCTTTATTTTTTGGCCTCAGTGGGAGGAGAAATGAAGCTAAAAGGGGGTTGGAGTAGCATTGAGGTGGACAGAGGGAGATAGCATTCAGTCATTGCCTTGTGGGTGGGGGGGTGGGGATGGGAGTCTGGGCTGGCCATGAAAGCAGGAAGACAGGAGGGTCAAGAAGCATCTAGTATTTCCTGGGGTCCCTGGGGGTGTGAGAGGCAGGCGTGGGCCTGGGCGGGAGGAGAGGCGCCTCCATGAGCTGCTAGAACCCCAGGACCACCGCACGCTTCCTTTCCAGGGAAGACCCTTCGCGTGGTAGAGCCGTCGGACAGCAGGGTCCCGCTGACCGCCGTGGCTGTCATGCCTGCCCCCCACAGCAGCGTCACCATGGCCAGCTCCGATGCAACCCTGCGCTTTGTGGACTGCAGGAAGCCTGGCCTGCAGGTCAGGGACGTCCCGGGGCCTGAGCCTGGGCCTGGGTGCCTTTTGGCGGCAGGGAGAGGTCCCCAAGAGAGAAGGCCAGGGCGTGGTTTCTCTTTGGAGACAGATCACCTACAGAAGCACAGCCTGGGGGTGGGACTCTGAAGGGAGAGCTCTCCCCTGGGTTGGGGGGGGGGGGGACAGAGGCTCCGGCTTCCCAGTTGTGTGGGCGTAGGGCCGAGCAGGGCCGCAGGGAGCGTGGCTTGGAGCCGGCAGAGCCGGCAGGGGCACCTCAGCCTGTCTTCCTCTGCCCGCAGCATGAGTTCCGCCTGGGCGGCGGGCTGAACCCGGGGCTGGTCCGCTCCCTGGCCGTGAGTCCCAGCGGCCGCAGCGTCGTGGCCGGCTTCTCCTCGGGCTTCATGGTGCTGCTGGACACCCGCACGGGCCTGGTTCTCCGGGGCTGGCCTGCCCACGAAGGGGACATCCTGCAGATCAAGGTGACAGACCACTCCTCACTCCTCCGGGTCCCCACCCCTGTGTAGGGCCCGCCCAGGACAGGCTCAAGCTGATCTCCCCGAGGCCTGCCCGCCCGAGGAGCACCCTGAGCCGGCCTCCCCGCGGGGCCTTGGCAGGAGGCAGGCCCGGGGGCGGGCGCTGCGGGCGAGCTGACCCTTCCGCTCCCTGGAGATGTTCTAATGAGTAACCCTTGTCCATATTTGTCTTGCTTGGAGGATCAGGGGTCGGGTCCCGTCCGTGACCCAATTCAGGTTAAATAAAGCTCAGCTGCGAGGCTGTTTACTGCCCCCAGACCACTGAGCAGAGTCCATGCCCCCTGCTGGGCTGCTCCGGTGGGGGCAGGGGCAGGGGCAGCCCGGGCATGGGGATCCTGCCCCCTCCCGTTCTCAATCACAAACCTCAGGGAGGCACAGGGCTACTTGTGGGAGGATCTTTCCTGGCAGCTGGGCTTCCCTCCCCATCCTAAGGGGAGGCCAGGCCAGCGCACATGCACTGACGCTGCTCGGGACAGGCTGCCTGGGTTTCCTTCAGACCCCCGCCCCAGCGGACCCTGGGCTGCAGATGCCTCTAAATTCTGACTTTCCAGGAGGGCTCTGGGGTCAGCCTGGTGTGACTAATCCTTGGTGTGACGAGTTAACTTTCCTGAGCCTCCGTTTTCCCCTGTAAAATGGGGGCGATGGCGGCATTTGCCGCAGAGAGCGGTCACAAAGGTTCTGTGTGGCGATGCGGCATGCCTAGTGACTGGGTTAACGAAGCGGTCACGTACCCCTATTAATTAACATGCGCAGAACGTGGGAGGACGGCAGCCTGTCAGCCGCTCAGAACGTCCCGTCTTCCCGGGAGAGACGGCGGGAGGACGTGGGAAGACCCTGGAGCCGGGTGGGCCCACGGGGGCCCCGGGCCCTGCTGAGGCTCCTGTCCCCGAGCAGGCCGCGGAGGGCAGCGTCCTGGTCAGCTCCTCCTCTGACCACTCCCTGACCGTCTGGAAGGAGCTGGAGCAGAAGCCCACCCACCACTACAAGTCGGCGTCCGACCCCATCCACACCTTCGACTTGTACGGCAGCGAGGTGATCACCGGCACCGTGGCCAACAAGATCGGCGTCTGCTCCCTGCTCGAGCCGCCCTCCCAGGCCACCACCAAGCTCAGCTCCGAGAACTTCCGTGGCACCCTCACCAGCCTGGCCTTGCTGCCCACCAAGCGCCACCTCCTGCTGGGCTCGGACAATGGGGTCATCCGCCTCCTGGCGTAGGCTGATGCGGGGGCTGGCCAGGCCTGGGCTGGCAGACATCCACCGGGAGCCCACCCCTCACCCATGTGTCCCCTCCATGTGAGCCTCTGGCCCATGCCCAGGGCAGCCCTGTGGCCTGCCAGCTAGGGCAGAGTGGGAGTCCAGGCTCCTGAGCCCCCAGGGCTGTCAGGGGTCTCAGTCATGACTTGGGGAGACTCCCCCTAGCCAGCAGGAAGCAAGAGGAGGAGCTGGGGAAGCATTGCTGCCCCTCATCACCCCAGTCCTGCCCTCTGCGTCCACATGGGGACGGGTGCTCAGGAAGAGGAAGCGAGACCGGCCATGGCCTCCATCTTTCCAGCCAAGGCCCCCCACTTCCTGCTGGGCTCTCTGGCCCTGGCCCCCCAGCACCCCGTGGTGCTTGGGCTCCAGCCTCTCCGGTCCAGGAATGAAGGGCCTCGGGCTGGGGTTTGAATGTTCGCGCAGCCAGGCCCTGCCCAGCGTGGGACCCGTAGGACAAGATGGAGGTCAGGACCAGGGCAGAGAAGATAGACAGGGCCAGCTGGTGCCTGCCAGGAGTGGCCACAGCCTCGCCTGCTTACTCCTAACCACAGACGGTGCCTTGAACTGAGGAGGCAACCTCTGGGCCCAGAGGGTGAGATTGGGGGCCCAAGACTCTTAAATAAAGGCCAAGAAGAAATTTTAAAAAATATATATATTTTATTGATTTTTTGCAGAGAGGAAGAGAGAGGAACAGAGAGTTAGAAACATCAATGAGAGAGACCAGCTGCCTCCTGCTCACCCCCCGACTAGGGATATGCCCGCAACCATGGTACATGCCCTTGACCGGAGTCGAACCCGGGACCTTTCAGTCCGCAGGCCGACGCTCTATCCACTGAGCCACACCGGTTTTGGCGAGCCAAGAAGAATTTCATCTGTGCATCTCAGGTCTCCCCTGGGGAACAAGACCATCCCGGGGTCCCCGTGTCCCACCATGTGGAGCAGAGATGGGGTCTGGCCTGGGCCCCTGCTGCCTCCTCACTGTTCGCAATAGATGTAAATACGGCCAATAAACCCTTTGGAAACACCTTGCAACGAGTGAGGCTTTTCTTGTCGGCCATGTCAGGTGGGGAGACGTTGAGATCCCACCGCTTGCAGGTCGGTGAGGAGAGGGCGAGGAGTGGGGCAGAGCGGGGGGGGAGGCAGGCCGGCCATTCTCCAGATGGCACAGCGAATAGGGCTCCTGCTTCCCGCAGCCCCACGCCAGGCCCCAGAGCCCTCCCCCCTGGGCAGGGAAGCAGGCATGGCTCCCAGTGAGGTAGGGTGCTGAGAGAGGCTGCATCCCTCAGCATCTCGTTCCATCCCCTGCCTTCTGACCCAGGCTGAAGGCAGCCAATCAGGATCCTGGGCATGTAAGAGTGGGAATGGGCAGAAACCGGTTTGGCTCAGTGGATAGAGCGTCGGCCTGCAGACTGAAGGGTCCCAGGTTCGATTCCGGTCAAGGGCATGTACCTTGATTGCGGGCTCATCCCTGGTGGGGGGTGTGCAGGAGGCAGCTGATTGATGATTCTCTCTCATCGATGTTTCTAACTCTCTAACCCTCTCCCTTCCTCTCCGTAAAAAAATCAATAAAATATATTAAAAAAAAAAAAAAAAAAAGAGTGGGGATGGGACATCCTATCCTGGGTTCCCTCCATATGCTCCTGCAGCTTCCCCTTCCCTCCCCTCGGGATGGGAGGCCGCTTTGGGGAGAGGAAAGGAAGTGGGGGCCTGGACGGAACAGCCCAGCTCTGTCCTCGGGCAGGTTACATAGCCTCCCCGAGCCTGACAGGAGCGGGGGTGCGCCTCCACCTGACGGGGCCTCTGGAAGGCTCCTGTCCTTCGGGGATCTACTCTCTGGGTGAGGAGAGCCTCCTCCACCGTCTCCTGAACCTCCGTCCTCCAGGCTCAGGGGGGACCCAAACCCGTGTGGTTCCAGGTGGCTGTCTCAGGGCGAGATGCCCTGGTGGGAAAGGGGCTTCCGGCCCCAATATCAATGTTTAATCGGATGTGCGGGTCAATATTTACCAGAGGAGAAAGCAAGCTGCACAGGGGTTGGCTGAGAGCAAAGGTCCTGGTGGGAGGGGAGGGCTCGGCGGCGGGGCTGGCTGGAGCCGGGGCAGAGCGTGGGGAGCACCCAAGTATCCCGGAGGGACATTGCGTGCGGAGAGAGGAGCCTCGAGGTAGGAGGGGAGAGCTGACGGCCTGCTCCCGGGCGGGAGAGGAGGTGGGAGCTGCCCACTTGCAGCTGAACTTATTCAGAAGCCTGTTGTTTCCCAGGCTCCTGGGGTGATGAAAGGTGGTGGTGGTGGTTCAGGGGAAGGCTCTCTGGGACTTGAAAAACGGAAGGTCATTTCTTACCAGAAAGATTCAAAGGTCCAGGTTGGGGATCAGAACCTCGATGGGGAGGAGCCAGGGGTGGTAGAAGGATCCTCCAGAAGGACGGGCTCTGAGGTGGGGGGTGGAGTGTGTGAGACCCGCTCTGAGGCCAGAGCCAGACTTCCCGGAGGGAGGCAGCCTGGGGCAGCGTTTCCCAAAAGTCCAAAGGTGGCTCTGGCCGGAGTCATTCATCGGGTTCTGCCTGCCGCTGGGTCAACAAGGCTGCTCTGGGGGCCCCCCCGCCACCCCTGCTGACACCTCAGGGCCTCCGGGGCCTGCCACCCTGTGGGCAAGGCCAACCCAGACCAGCCAGCAGAGGGGCCGGCTGGACAGGAGCTGCGAGGAGGGAACCCCAGGACGAGGCAGGCTCCCAGAAGAGGGGCCTCGACTAGGAGGCAGCAGCCATGACCGGGGGCCAGGCCTCGCACTCCGGGCTCACAAACGCCGTCTTTAAATATATACTTTTTTTTTTTAATTGATTTTTCACAGAGAGGAAGAGAGAGGGATAGAGAGTTAGAAACATCGATGAGAGAGGATCATCGATCAGTTGCCTCTTGCACACCCCCTACTGGGGATGTGCCCGCAATCAAGGTACATGCCCTTGACCGGAATGGAACCCGGGACCTTTCAGTCCGAAGGCCAATGCTCTATCCACTGAGCCAAACCGGTCTTGGCCACAAACGCCGTCTTATCTGGTCCTCCCCATACCGGGGGAGGAGGTGGGGACTGTGCCACCGTTCTCTAAGATGAGAGGCCCGGAGGGGTACGGGAGGTGTCCGGGTCCCCTGGCGAGAGTCCGCCGGGATGCACACCAAGGTCTGACTCAGTGCCAGGCCTCGGAGGAGGAGGGCTTTCTTCGCTTTGATATGGTTTCCATCCCATGAACCAACTGCCCCCCGGGAGCTGAGGGCCGCTGCCGGTGTATCTTGGGGATTGTGTGCTGTAGCTGGCGTTGCCCTCAGCGACGATGGCCAGGGACTCTGCCGGCCAGGGATCGTGCGGGTGGGATTCCATGGTGGGTGTAGGGTAAGGTGACCAGATCATCCCGCTTTTGGCAGGACAGTCCCGATTCTTAACAATTTGCCCCTCAGCCCTCGGCCTTTTTTAAAAGGGCGCGGGCCGCGGGACAAATTGTTAAAAATTCTTTCCAGTCTACGGCCATACCACCACCCTGAACGCGCCCGATCTCGTCTGATCTCAGAAGCTAAGCAGGGTCGGGCCTGGTTAGTACTTGGATGGGAGACCGCCTGGGAATACCGGGTGCTGTAGGCTTTAAAAAAAAAAAAAAAAATTCTTTCCAAAAATCGGGACTTTTTTAAAAAAATATATATATATTTTTTATTGATTTTTCACAGAGAGGAAGGGAGAGGGATAGACAGTTAGAAACATCGATGAGAGATAGACATCAATCAGCTGCCTCCTGCACACCCCCGACTAGGGATGTGCCCGCAACCAAGGTACATGCCCTTGACTGGAATCGAACCCGGGACCCTTTAGTCCGCAGGCCGATGCTCTATCCACTGAGCTAAACAGGCTTTGGCAAAAGTCAGGACTTTTTTAAACGCTGAGGGATGCGGGACAAATTGTTAAAAATCCGGACATCTGGTCACCTTAGTGTAGGGACTTGGCTCCGGTGGCCAGTGAGATCATTGGGGGTGACAGTGTGTGTGTGTGTGGGGGGGGGCGGCTAGTAGGCAATCACGCTTCCTGCCCCTCACAGGAACATGGCACTGCTCCGGGGCCTCCTGGTGCTCAGCTTGTCCTGCCTGCAAGGGCCCTGCTCAGTGGTGAGTCTGGGCAGGAGGCTGGGTCTGGGTAGGGAGGGGAGGCCAAGCTCACCTCCCTTACCTTGTCCGTCCCACAGCCCCAGGCAGGGGGCCTCCCCGCCACCCGCACCCACCTTTCTGCAGGTACATCCGAGCGGCCATTCGGAACGCCCCGGGGCCCAGGTCCTGGCAGAGGCGGCTCAGCAGGTGGGGGAGGCAGGGCCCTGTGTCTGCGTGCAGCACCTGCTGCAGCCTCTGCAGCGCCTGGTTCTGGGCACCTGAGGGGACCGATCGCTGTGGCCAGGCTGGGCTCATCCCCACCACCCCTGCCCCCGCCCCAGACCGATGGGTATGGAGGCCATAGGTCTGAGGGGGCAGAGAAGGGCAGGAGGGTTTGGCTCTGAGGGGGTTCCCCCTCCTCTCCTCACCCCTTTTCCAACAGTTCTCTCCAGCCAGCGCCGCGGAGCCCATGAGCCAGCAGGTACCGGGAAGAGGGGCTGAGGGGCCGCACCTGTGGCTCATGCGGGGTGGGGGGCCTGTGGAGAGGATCCCGCTCCATTTTCTTCCTCCTTTCTTCAGATAGTGACCGGGCCGAGCCAGGAGAAGCTGTCCCCGCTCAGCCTCCTCAAGTTGGTCAACCAGGTACAACCAGGTGGGGCTGGGAAAAAGTGGGCGGGCCCGAGGGAGGGGGGAGCCGTCAGCAGGGGTGAGGGGACTGGGGGCGTGGCCTTGAGGCGGAGGGAGGGCTGAAGAGGGAGGGTGAGGGGCAGAGGAAGGCCTCCAGGCCCCAGAATGTATCCATCAGGCAGGCCCGGGACAAGGCCCAGGGGCTGTGAAGCAGGTCTTCCACACAGAACCGAGGGACCGGTGGCCTCCACTGACCCCCGACACATCCCTGCAGGAGCCTGAGGGCCAGACGGAGCCGAAGAAGGCCTCAGGAGACTGCAGTGAGGCCCCCAGCCCGGAGCAGACCCGCAGGCTGGCCAAGGCCATGATGGCCTTCACCACAGACCTGTTCTCCCAGGTGGCCCAGAGCTCCGCCCACCCCAACCTCATCCTGTCGCCTCTGAGTGTGGCCCTGGCGCTGTCGCACCTGGCACTAGGTACGGCGGCGCCTGTCGAGACCCGCAGAGCTGGGAGGCCGGTGGGAGTCACTGCGTCAGGGTGACTCCTCCATCGGGGTCACGTTTGGTGAAAACGCAGACCCCTGGGCCCACCTCAGGCCTCTGTGAATCAGGTGCCCAGGAACTGGGCCCAAGGATCTGCTTCTGGGGACTTGTAGGCAAGAGTTTGGTAGCTACAGCGTGCCCATTGGACTGGAGGGTCTCATTGGGGGAAACAGGCTCAGAGAGGAGTGACCGTTTTCATGAGGCGTGGTCACCCAGACTAGCAGCAGCAGGCGTGAAAGTTGAACGTGGGGGTCCTGTGACTCAGACCAGATCAGTGGACGCGAGGAGAGTGTGTGGTCACCGTGGGTGCTTAAGAGGGACTTGGGGCGGGGCAGGGATGATGGGGACGAGCCCAGCCTGGCCACAGCGATCGGTCCCCTCAGGTGCCCAGAACCAGACGCTGCAGAGGCTGCAGCAGGTGCTGCACACAGACACAGGGCCCTGCCTCCCCCACCTGCTGAGCCGCCTCTGCCAGGACCTGGGCCCCGGGGCATTCCGAATGGCCGCTCGGATGTACCTGCAGAAAGGTGGGTGCGGGTGGCGGGGAGTCCCCTCGCTGGGGCTGTGGGACGGACGGGGCGAGGGAGGTGAGCTTGGATCGTTTTTTGTCTGTGGAGCCTGAGCTCCGGGGACAACCCGAGGTCCCTCCTGCGTAGGATTTCCCATCAAAGAGGACTTCCTGACGCAGTCGGAACACCTCTTTGGCGCGAAGCCCATCAACCTGATTGGGAAGAAGGGGGAGGACTTGGCAAACATCAACAGATGGGTGAAGGAGACCACGGAGGGGAAGATCGAGGACTTCCTCTCGGAGATGGCGGATGACACCGTGCTGCTGCTCCTCAACGTCATCCATTTCCAGGGTGCGCGGCTGGCTCCTCTCTCAGGTCTCCCCACCCGGCAGCTCCTCCCCCGCCCGGAGGCTGCGGCCCTCAGCTTCCTCCTCAGGGCGGAGCCTCTGGGTCGTGGCTTGGGAGAGGGTTGGAGGCAGGTAGTGGCAAGGAGGGCCCTGGAACCGATGGGGCTGTTGTGGAGAGGGCACCCTAGAAGGAAACCCGGGGTGAAAAGACCCTGGGGAGGCTCCCAGGAGCACGGCAGGATACAGGGGGGGGGGGGGGGGGGGGGGAGGGGAAGGGGGGAATGCACATCCGGATTTTTTTTTTTAATATATTTTATTGATTCTTCACAGAGAGGAAGGGAGAAGGATAGATAGCTAGAAACACTGATGAGAGAATCATCGACCAGCTGCCTCCTGCACACTCTCCACTGGGGATGTGCCCGCAACCGATGCACATGCCCTTGACCGGAATCGAACCCGGGACCCTTCAGTCCTCAGGCCGACGCTCTATCCCCTGAGCCACACCGGTTTCGGCCACATCCGGATTTTTAAAACTCTACAGAAAAGAGATCTCAGATCAACTAGGTGTCAGCTGGCCCAGCACCCTCTGGGGTCGTGGCCCCACCTTCTGCCCCTGGAACGGGTTCTGGGTGGGACGGGGAAGAGGCGGGTGGCGGAGAACCACCCTGGTCCAGCCTATGGGGCCCTGCCCTCTGCCGGTGCAGGTTTCTGGAAGAGCAAGTTCGACCCGAGCCTCACGCAGAGAGGGACGTTCCACCTGGACGGGCAGTTCGCGGTGCCGGTGGACATGATGCAGGCCCGCATGTACCCGCTGCACTGGATGCTGCTGGAGCAGCCCTCCGTACAGGTCGCCCCGACTGGCCAGCCGGCCTGCGTGCTGGGCGCGGGGAGGGAGCAGCAGGCCATGGGGCGGGCACGGGGGTGGGGAAGGGGACCATCACCTTCCTGGTAGCTAGGTCCCTGGGGGCGTGGCTATGAGAGGTCTCACTGTGCCCCCACTGAGGGGGACGGAGGCTCCAGGCTCTCTGAGGTTCATTCATTCATTCATTCATTCAACAAAACCATACTGGGCGTTTGCTCTGTGCAGACACTGTGCTAGGCCTTGGGCTGTTGGTGGAACACAGGGGAGCCCAGATCCCTGTTCTCAGGTGGGAAGACACCAAGTATGCAAGTTTACAAACACCAACAGGATGGTTTCAGGGCGTGATAAGTGCTATGAGGGAAAACACCTTTATTTTTATTTTAAAAATTATTTTAAAAATATATTTTATTGATTTTTTGCAGAGAGGAAGGGAGAGAGATAGTTAGAAACATCAATGAGAGAGAGTCATCGATCAGCTGCCTCTTGCACACTCCCTCCTGGGGATGTGCCCACAACCAAGGTACATGCCCTTGACTGGAATTGAACCTGGGACCTTTCAGTCGCAGGCCGACGCTCTATCCACTGAGCCAAACCGGTTTCGGCAGGAAAACACCTTTCAAAGGGGACTTAGGGGTGCTGTGTTAGATAGAGTGGCCAGGGAGCATTTTTTGAGGAGAGGGCACTGAGTGGAGACCCAGGTGATCTCTAGTTCCCAGGGCTTTCGTACAAGGACCCATGGGGTGTGGGCACCCCGGCAGCCATGGAGCCACCTGGGGCCTTGGCACCCCCCGCCTGGGAGATGCACCCTGTGCTCTCCCGCGGAGTTTCTCAGAAGGGAGGATCCGATTGGGATGCATGTGCCAGCATCCTGACGGGACGTTCTGATTGGATGGAGTGCGATGCCAGGCTCTCTCAGGGGTGGGCGCCCTTGCTTCCAGTCTACACGTGGTCCCCTTGGCGTAGGCACTGACCCCCGGGGCCCATGGCGGAGAGGGCAGCTTGGGGGGGGGGGGGGGGGACACAGACCACATCCGCTTCGGCAGCCCTTGGGGGGGTGGTGGTGGGGGGCCTGTGGACGGGCCGGCCCTGGGAGCAGCATCCCGGCTTCTCTCCAGTTCACCCCGAAAGGAGGATGGTCTGGTGCACCACCCCACCAGCTTCCTTCCTGCCGCCCCTTCCCGCCAGGCTCTGTCCTGCCCACACCTCCTTCCCCCGTGGTCTCCCTTCCTCCGGCTCCCTGACCTTGCTGGTCGCAGGCCCTCGGCAGGCAGGCCAGGCAGCCAGATGCTGGGGCCTTAGCACCCTCCGGGCCTGCTGAGAGCCTCGGAGTCCAAGCTGCAGGAGACCGCCGAGGCCGGGGTCTCCGTCCTCCTTTAGCTGCAGAAACCCGTTCGCGTGGAATCCTCCCCCGGGCGGCAGGGCTGGGCAGAGCGCCCGTGGAAGCGAGAGTGGTGAGCGAGGACCACCCTTTGCAGCAGCTGCCCTGCAGGACCCGGGGCCGTTTGAAGCCCAGCAGCCCCAGTGCACCGCCTTCATGGGGAATCGGCGAGGGGGACACGGGGTGCTTCGCCCCGGGTCGCAGGGCTAGACCGACACCGTTAACAAGTGTTACCCCTTTGGGCCACACGCCGACCTGCAATGTGGGGAGGTAGGGTCATCCGTCTTTGAAAGATGAAACAGAGAGGCCGGAGACCGGGACCAGGACACAGGCTTTATTGGAGAGAAGAGGACCGCTGCCGGCTGCTTCCAGAGGGGAAAAAGAGGAAAAGCTGGGATTCAGGCACCTTTTAAGGGGAGGAAAGAGAGGGGACGGGGCTTGGGGCACTCGGCACACGCTGACTGGTGGTTTCGTGTAAGGCCTATGATTAGGGGCCTAGGGACTTAGGAATCGGGGGCTTAGGGTGTTTGGCAGGTGCTGATGGGTGGTCCGGTGCTCAGGAATGTCCGGCCGCAGGTGCAGTTTACGTCATTCTCCGTCCGTCGGTTGGAGGAAGGGAGGATCTGTCACTCTTCGCAGGGGAGGATGGGAGGCTCCGGGAGGCGGAGCGCAGGCCTGAGCAGGATGGACGGGAGCCCCGGTCCCTCGGCCTCGGAAGCACACGCTGGCCCAGACCCCCCTCCGCCCCGGTGCTTTCTGGTCCTCACGCTGTCTCCTTCCTTTGTCTGTAGGTGGCTCACTTCCCCTTTAAGAACAACATGAGCTTCGTGGTCATCATGCCCACCTACTTCGAGTGGAACGTGTCCCAGGTGCTGGCCAACCTGAGCTGGGATGCCCTGCACCAGCCCTTCTTTCGGGAGAGGCCCACCAAGGTCCAGCTGCCTAAGCTGCACCTGAAACACCAGCTGGACCTCGTGGCCACCCTCAGCCAGCTGGGTAAGGAGGCGCCTGGGACAGCCGCCTCGGCCAGGTTGGGCAGCGTGGATGAGGAGACAAAGCTAGGCTGGCTTTTTTTTTTTTTTTTTTAATATATTTTATTGATTTTTTACAGAGAGAAAGGGAGGCAGATAGAGAGCTATAAACGTCGATGAGAGAGAAACATCGACCAGCTGCCTCTTGCACACCCCCTACTGGGGATGCGCCCGCAACCAATGTACATGCCCCTGACCGGAATCGAACCTGGGACCCTTCAGTCCACAGGCCGACACTCTACCACTGAGCCAAACCGGTTTCGGCTGGCCTTTTTTTTTTTTTGAGGCTTCCGGCGGCGAGAGGGTTTGAGGTGAATCCCGGGACTGTCTGTCCTAGGATGCACTGGGTGGTCCAGGGAAGGAGGACCAGCTGCTCTGCCCGACTGTGCGGTAGAGAATCCCAGGCGGAGAGCCTGGGAGGCAGGAGAGCCCTCCATGGACAAAGAGCTCAGTCTCATGGAGAGGGCGGGTGAGGAACCGGGACTTAGAATCCAGCATGCGGAATAGAACAGAGGGCTTCTCTCCAGCTCCCTCAGAACATGGAAGAGGCACCTGCCTGGTCTTTGGAGCTGGGGATCCGGGAGGGCTTCCTGGAGGAAGTGACCTTTAAGCTAATCCTTGAAGATCAAGTGGGAATTAACCAGGCATCTGCGGGCGCAAGGTGTCTCCCGGCCAGGATGCCGGACGCCCTCCCGGGCAGGTGCAGGCAGCCTACCGGGCGGAAGGCACCGCTGACAGGCCCCCTCTGACCCCGGGGCAGGCCTGCAGGAGCTGTTTCAGAACCCAGACCTCAGCGGGATCTCGGACGAGAGGTTGGTGGTGTCCAGCGTGCAGCACCAGTCCACGATGGAGCTCAGCGAGGCCGGCGTGGAGGCGGCCGCGGCCACCAGCTTGGCCATGTCCCGCATGTCCCTCTCCACCTTCAGCGTGAACCGCCCCTTCCTCTTCTTCATCCTCGAGGACACCACGGGGCTGCCCCTCTTCGTGGGCAGCGTGCGGAACCCCAACCCGGGGGCGCCGCGGGAGCACAAGGAGCAGCAGGATTCCCCCGACAGCAGGGACCTCCTCGAGGACCTGAACGCCTTCGGCCGCGGCGACAAGCCCTTCGGCCCGGGCTTGAAACTGGAGCCCCTGCCCGAGGAGGATTACCCCCAGTTCGGCAGCCCCAAGTGAGGGCGGCGGGCTCCCGCATCCTGGGCCCCTGCCGGGCCGGCCTCTCAATTCATGGGACTCTTTCCAAACAGCTTTGCGGGGTGAGGGGCGGGGCCGGGGCGGGGCGGGCAGTCCGGGGAGGGAGGAGCCTTCTTTCCATCTCCTCTTGGGGGGCGGGCGGGGCTGGGGGAGGGGCAGCTGTGGACCCACTTTGGTCAGCAAGGTAGGTGGGTTGTTCCTGGCTCACCTTTGTTTCCCCGAGGGAGGGCGGACAGGAGGGGCCGGATGCCCTGGCTGGGGGAGGAGGGATGGGCCCCGGGGTGGCTCAGGGGCAGAGCACTGTCCTGGGGTCAGACACTGCGGTCATCAGCCTCGTCCTGCTCTGCACCTGCCATCGCCAGCCTCCCCCACTGGTCCTTCGTGATGCCCACACTGCCCGGACTCCCTTTCCTTCCTCTCTCCTCTTCCTCCTCTGCCCGGGGTCTCGGGGGGCTGAGGGGGGTGGCATCAGCTCCTGAGGGCTCTTTTGTAAAGTTTTTGTAGTGATTTTTATGCTACCCGAATAAAGAATGAATGGGCCGCTTTGGTGTCACTGTTCTGGGCACGGGCGGGGGCGGGGGGCCTGGAGGGAGGTGGGGGGAGGAGGCCACGGAGAGACCGGACTGAGGCTCAGCCGCCCTCTCGCCCTCTCGGTGCCACGTTTGGTCTCTGGCTGCTTGCCAGACCTTCTCCATTGTGCAGGCCCCCTGACCTCTGGGGGGGCACCTCCCCAGGGGGGGCACCTCCCCAGGCGCCGCCTGGCTCTGCTCTCAGCCTGCCCCCTCCGCAGGCCGCAGCAGGCGCCCGCAACAGGGCTGCTCAGAATAGCACCAGCCTCCTGCTGGGGGAGAAGAACCGGCAATTAGGGAGCTTGAGGAGTTTCTAATTACACGCTGGCCCCTCTGCCAGGAGCTGGCGCCCGCCAGCCGGCCGGGGGGCGGCTCCAGCTGGAGACCGTCCGCTGGATTTGGGGGGAGTGGTGGGGGCACCCTGGCACAGGGCAGGGGCAGCTCGGTGTCTATGTGGGTGGGCCCTTGTGTGCGAGTGCAGGGGTCCCTGTGGCAGCAGCACCTGCAGCCCTGAAGGGCCGTGATTATAACCGATTATAACTGAGGGATGGAATCCCGCTCCTCGCAAACCAGCAGGTGGGGAGACAGGTAATGGATAAACAAGCGGACTATCGGAATCTCAGAGAGTGATCAGCGCTGCGATGGATGAGAAAGAAAGCAGGGAGTGAGACTTGAAGGGATGAGGGGGACACTGTGGAAATGGGGGGGGGGGACAACTTAAACCGGACCATGGCACCCCTCAATCACAAGCCTTCCACAGGGTCTTGGCAGAGGAATAGAAAGTGCAGAGTTCCCGAGGTGGGAGCGCAGTTGGAAGGTTCCAGAAGGTCCGTGGGCTGGAGTGGAGGGAGGGAGGAGGAGGTTTGAATCCAGGCATCCCCCTGAGGGTCACGCCATTGCCTCCTAGGTCCTCCCACAGCTGCTCTGGCGGCTTTAATTGCATTTTTCCCAAATGCCATGCCTCCTGTGTGTCCGCAGCCCGCCCAGCTCTGGGGGTGCAGTGACTCCAACAAGCAGGCAAGACCCCTGCTCCTGCAGCCAGAGCTGGCGGCGGAGCAGTCTGCACAGCAAACGTGCGAACGTTTTGTGTTGAAATATAGTACGCAAAGTACACAAGTCATAACTGTAGGTAAGCTTAATGAATTTGTTTATGAACCAAAATGCCCCTGTTGCAACCAGCATTCAGATCAAGGAACAGTATTCAGCCTCCTGATTTCTTAAAAAAAAAAAAAATTAAAAAAAAAAAATATATATATATATATATATATTTTATTGACTTTTTACAGAGAGGAATTGAGAGGGACAAAGACTTAAGTTAGAAACATCAATGAGAGAGAAACATCGATCGCCTCTTGCACACCTCCCACCGGGGATGTGTCCGCAACCAAGGTACGCACCCTTGACCAGAATTGAACCCGGGACCCTTCAGTCTGCAGGCCGATGTCCTATCCACTGAGCCAAATAGGTTCCGGCCTTATTTTATTTATTTGTTTATTTATTTATTTATTTTTAAATTTTATTATTTTTAAAAATATATTTTATTGATTTTTTTTTACAGAGAGGAGAGAGGGATAGAGAGCCAGAAACGTTGATGAGAGAGAAACATCGACCAGCTGCCTCTTGCACATCCCCTACTGGGGATGTGCCCGCAACCAATGTACATGCCCTTGTCTGGAATCGAACCTGGGACCTTTCAGTCCGCAGACCGATGCTCTACCACTGAGCCAAACTGGTTTCGGCTGGCCTTATTTTTAAAAAAATATATTTTTATTGGTTTCAGAAAGGAAGGGAGAGGAAGAGAGAGATCAAAACATCAATGATGAGAGAGAATCGTTGATCAGCTGCTTCCTACAAGCCCCCTACGGGGGATTGAATGCGCAACGTGGGCATGTGCCCTGACTGGGATTCGAACCGTGACCTCCTGGTTCATAGGTTGACATTCAACAACTGAGCCACGCTGGCCGCCCTCCTGACTTCCAATAGCATATTTGTCTTCCCTGGTTTTGGGTTTTACACAAAGGAATCCTACAGCCCTACAGTGCTCCCTGTCTTGCTTCTTTCATTCAACCTAGTGAGTGTGTTCACCTGTGTTCTTGTGGATGGCAATAATTCACTCGCTGTGGCAGGCTTTCCATGGAGGGTGCTGCGGTCTGCGTTAAGTTCTAGAAGCTCGTTTGGCTGCGACGTGGAGGACAGATTGTAGGGGGATGGATGCAGGAGCAGGGAGACAGGTCAGCAGGAAAGAGACACGGATGTTTGGCCCAGGGTGCTGGCTGCGGAGGAGAGTGGTCGGAACTCAGACGTGTTTTGCAGCTGAATGTTATGGAATCTGTGGACAGACAGACTGTGTGGGAGACAAGGGACGGGAAAGGCCAAGGCAGTGGGGCTCATCCTTCAAGTTCCTGGAGTTTTGCCTTGAGAAAATGGCTTTTTTTCGGTTGTTATTAATCCTCACATGAGGATATTTTCCCATTGATTTTAGATAGAGTGGAAGGAAGTTGTGGGGGGAGGAGGGAGGGTGGAGGTGGAGAGAGAGAGAGAGAGAGAGAGAGAGAGAGAGAGAGAGAGAGAGAGAGAGAGAGAGAGATTGAGAAACTATGATGGATTGTCTCCCGCATGCATCCTGAATGGGATGGGAATCGAACCTGCAACCCAGGCACATGCCCTTGACTGACAATCAAGCCTGCGACCCTTCAGGGCGTGGGCTGACGCTCTAGCCAGAGAACCACGGCCAGGGCCAAGCCTCACGCTTTTACAAGGGCTGTGGACGGACCTCTCAGGAGCGGGGCTACCTGCGGGAGCTCAGTCCTTGAAGAACACAGGGGTGGGGTGGGGGGCTCTTCTTCAGGAGGAGAGGGAAGCACTCCTGCCACGGTCATTGGGGAGAGAGAAGGAACTGGGACGCACGGAACGGTGTAATGAATTGCATAATGCCACTGCGCAGCTTAAAAAATAGTCTCCGCATAGCGACAGGCTTCCATTCCCGTCCCCCAGTCCTTCCCCCGCCCCCCCCCGACCATCATCCTGAATTTGGTTTTCATTTTCACGCATTTTTTCAATTTTCACTACCTGAGTTTTTATCTATTAGTGCTCTACGGTATCATTTTGTGGGCTTTTAAGCCTTCCATAAATGCATCATCCTGTTGGCACGCTCCTGTAATTTGTATCACTCCACATGGTGAGATAAATTTGTGTTGGTTTAAATGGCTTCCCTCGATTATTTCTCAGGCTGTAGGCTTGTACAGCCTGTAGTTAGTCTCCTGCTGATGGATATGCAGGGAGCTCCCACTTTATTATTATTTTTTTTTTTGCCTCTACAAATCCTGCTTCTAGAACATTCTTTGCATACTTGGTTGTGCACCTATATGGTGTGTTTTCAGCTCACATACTTTGGAGTGGAATTACTGAGCTGTGGGCTTGGGTTCACCCACCTTTATCTGCCAGGGCTGCCACGTACAGCTATGCACAATGCTGCCGTCTGTTTCAGATTGTTTTTTCAAACTGGCTGTATCGCCAGCAGGGCATCCGAGACCCTGGCCGGCACTTGGTTTTGTTAGATGTTTAAATGTTGCCCATTTGATGAGTGTGATGCACAATTATGGTTTTAACTTTCATTCCCCTGGTTATTGGTGAGGACAAAGCATCTTTTAGGATTTGTATTCTGTGAATTACCTGGCCCTATTTTTCTGTTGAATCGTTTTTCTTATTGATTTATAATTCTTCCTATATCACAGTGATTTCTTCGTATCAGTTACCTGTGTTACAAACATTTTCTCCTAGCGGCTTGTTTTTCATTTTGTTTTATGGTACTTTTTCATGAAAACTAGTTTTTTAATTTTATTGCCAAATTTATCAGTCTTTTATCATTTGTGCTTCTTTTGGTATATATTGTCTTTTAAAAAAACATTTTCTACCCAGAGATCACAAAGATAATCCATCTATACATTTTTCTGAAACACAATTATTCCTGTTGTGTACATGTGTTTGTGTTTGCTTTTTAAGGCATCAAAACTACCTCTGAAAGGACACACGGGAAAGAGATTAACAACCACTGACTCCAGGTAGTGAAGTTCCTGACTGAAAGATCAGAGAGAGAGGAAGACTTTTTCACTGCATACTCTTTGCTGCTTTTGAGTTTTGAACCACATAAACATTAAGATCTATTCAAAAATAGAAAAAGAAATTAAATAAAGATTCATTTAAAAGGGATCTGTAAAAACAGAGATGCTTTTTCACATTTAAATATTTACTGTACCTAGAGTTCATTTTTGTGTATGGTGTGAGACAGGAGTCCAATTTAAAAAATATATATTTTATTGATTTTTTACAGAGAGGAAGAGAGAGGGATAGAGAGTTAGAAACATTGATGAGCGAGAATCATCAATCAGCTGCCTCTTGCACACCTCCTAATGGGAATGTGCCCTCAACCAAGGTACATGCCCCTGACCGGAATCGAACCCGGGACCTTTCAGTCCGCAGGCTGACGCTCTATCCCATTGAGCTAAACTGATTTTGGCAGGGGGTCCAATTTTAAGTTGTCTACTCAGACAGTCATGTCCTTCTATCATTCTTCTTCTTCTCTTTTTAAAAAAATATAATTTTATTGATTTAGAGAGGGAAGGAGGGGGCATACAGGAGGCTGCTGATCAATGGTTCTCTCTCATCATTGATGTTTCTGTCTCTCTCTCCTGCAACCAAGGTACATGCCCTTGACCGGAATCAAACCTGGGACCCTTCAGTCTGAAGGCTGATGTTCTATCCACCAGGCCAAACCGGTTAGCGCTCCACTGACCTTTCAAAATCATAGAATTTTAGGGCTTAAAAAGCACACAGATATTCTAGTTCCATCCCTTCGTTGTTTTTGTATGTTTTTTTTTTTTTTTAAATTGGTTTTAGAGAAAGAGAGGAAGGGAGAGAGAAGCATTGGTTAAGCCACTTATTTACGCATTCATTGGTTGATTCTTGTATGTGCCTTGACTGGAGATCAAACCTGAAACCTTGGCATAGCGGGATGATGCTCTAACCAACTGAGCTACCCGGCAACCTTCATTTAAAAAAATTTTATTTATACAATATTAATATATTTTTATTGATTTCAGCGAGGAAGGGAGAGGGAGAGATAGAAACATCAATGATGACAGAGAATCATTGATCGGTTGCTTCCTGCATGCCCCTACCGGGATCAAGCCCACAACCTGGGCATGTGCCTTGACTGAGAATCAAACTGTGGCCTCCTGGTTCATAGGTGGATGCTCAACCACTGAACCATACCAGCCAAGCTCATCTTTTCATTTAAAAAATGTTTCTTACTTATTGATTTTTCCCCCCCAAATTTTTTTAGGAGAGAGAGAGAGAGAGAGAGAGAGAGAGAGAGAGAGAGAGAGAGAGAGAGAGAGAAAGAGGGAGAGAGAGATTTGTTGTTCCACTTTTTCATGCATTCATTGGTTGCTTCTTGTAGGTGCCCTGACTAGGGATCAAACCTGCAACCTTGGCATATCAGGGAGATGCTCTAACCAACTGAGATACCCAGCCGGACCATCCCTTCACTTTTCAGCTGAGAAAGGGAGGAACTGTGAGAGTTGTCCTGCCCCAATCCCCAGTCAGTGTCAGAGCCCAGGACCAGGGAAAACCCAGAACCCCAGTACCGGGCAGTGTTTTCTCCACTAGCCTGCCTCGGGGCCTCCTCCTGCAAGGCTCTCCCTCAGACCTGCCTCCCACCCGGGCTGGCCCGGGTGCCCTCTGGGGGTGAAACCTCAGGCGGGGAGGGGCCAGGGCCTGAAGGAGGGCCTGGTGGAGAAGGGTGTATGAATGTGTGAGTGTGGCAGGGGTGCATGGGGGAAGGGCAGCAGTGGGTTAAAGTTAACACCAGACAATTATGCAATCGCAGAATCTGAATTGAGTGCAGGTCGCTTTAAGGCAGGAGTAGCTGTAATCTGAAGCCTGCTGGAAGCGGGATTGGGAGGCAGCAGAAAAAGCTCTTGTGTTTGCAGGAGCCCCCTCAGTGTGCAGACTGACTGAGCTGGGCGCCGGGCAGCAGCGCACCCACAGGTAAAGCAGCCCTGCCTGGCCTCGGTGCCGGGAGAAGACAGGACAGACTCGTGGGGCTGGGGAGGGGCAGGTCCCCAGGGGCGTGGGAAAGAGGTGCAAGGGAGAGGAGGGGGGAAACAGTAGCCTCTGCAGCGTGGGCATCAGGGCTAGTGGGTGAGAGAAGGCAGAGGGAGATGGGGGTCAGAAGGCGATAACCCAGTTACCCCCAGACTCCGGTGCACCACGAGGAGAGGCTGGGAGAACCTGCATGAAGTGGGTGGCAAACAATGGAGGGGGCTGTGCGGGGAGAAGCAGGGAGCTCAGCTGCAGGGTCAGGTCTGAGTGGCACCTCCGAGAGGCTCTGCAGCCCGGAGGGGAGGAGGCTGCTGGGAGCCGTGCCGGGGCCTCAGGGGTGGCAGCCCATCCTGCAGCCCGGCCTTGGCCTTCGCTGGGCTCAGCTCGCCGCTGCCTTTCCAGGCAACTGGTGCTGACTTCAGCGGTGACTTCCCAGCCCTGCCCAGCAGCTGGAGGGCTGGGAGAGAGGACAGCTGGGTCCTTCTCCCCGGGGCCCACCCTGTGCTGCTGGCCGAGCGAGCTGCCAGGAAAAGCTGGCAGGTCCGCGGGGTGCTGGCCTCTCACACACAGAGATTGTTATGCAGCCCGGCCAGGGTTTGGGGCTTGGCAGGGGCTCAGCTGCCAGTGCTGGAGAGAATGCTGCCCGCGCCCCTTCCGCTCCCAGAGGCATGCCACAGCGAGGCGTGGGTCCGGGCCAGAGACAGCTGCAGGCTTCCCAGAAACCCCATGCCCAGCCCCACGGGGAGTTCAGCCCGGGGCTGAGGGTGGGAGAGGCAGGGGCCGGGGAGTGCGTGCCCAGGGCTGGTCCCTGTGAGGAGCGGGGAGGGGAAGCTCAGGGGCACTCCGGCCCCTTAAGCAGGTCTTCCTAAGGAACATCGCCTGGGGACTGATGGGGTCACCCTGGGTGGGGTGGGCTGGGAGGGGACCCTTTGGACTCTCCCTCCCTGAGCCAGGGGAGAGGGCGTTCCCTTCCTTGCTTGGCCCATGTGGTCCACAACCCTGTGGCTTGAAGGCTCTGTGGTTCCAGGAGGAGGAGGAGGAGGAGGAGGAGGGGATGTGGGGAGGAAAGAGAAGGGGAGGAGGAAGAGAAGGAGGAGGAGGAGGGGTTGGGGGAAGGAAAGAGGAGGAGGAGGAGGGTGGTGATGGTGGTGTTTGTCTCACAATTGGGTTTAATTAGAAACACATGCATTGGCTCCAATGGATCCTCCCAGTTTGAAGGCAAGATCAGGAAATCCCAGTTCCTTGTGCCTTTTGACGTGGGCCACGCGGCAGAGAGAAGCAGCGAGGTGTCGACTGCCTCCCCATGCCCTCCCCAGCCTGGTAGGATAGGAATCTGGCTGGAATACTGCCGCCCTTTGGACAGGGTGGCATTGTTGTCCCTCTGTCCCTGGCCCGCCATGGCGGCTTGCCCAACCCATGAACCATCACCCTGGACAGGGCTCAGAGAGGCCCCCATGCAGACCCTCAGCCTTGTAGGGGGCTTTCAATAACCTCTCCACTCCCCTCACCCCCAGGGCCAAGGCGGAGGACTCACAGAGCTGCCTGGCCCTGGGCCGGCTGTGGAGCCCTGTGCCCTATCCCACCGGGGTCTCTCCCTGCATCCTCAGTCCGCAGCCCACCCACATGGTGACCGTGATCACGGGGCCGGGGGCTTGGGCTCCACTCGTAGGGATTCCCGCAGAGAGGGTCCCCCTTCCACAGGGATTGCAACGGTGAACTTCGCCTGCCCACACACTGTCCCGGGATGACCCCGTCCCTGGCTCCTATCGCAGCTCCCTGCTGGCCAGCGCAACAGGAGCTGACAGCCTTCCCTCTGGCCTCGCTGCCTGCGATCTCACGGAGTTTTCAGCCTCCAGGAAGCCGGTCTCCTGAGGCTCAGCGAGGAGGGCTCCGCCAGCTCTGGGTGCGGCCGGCTGGGCGGAGAGCTGGATGGCGTTAAGGCCTCTCTCTGGCCCCGTCTCAGGGCAGATGTCTCCCTGAGCGGCAGGGGCAGCCGTGGGGCAGGGCGGCTGCTGAGGAGACGGGCTCCTCACGGGGACACGCGCTCCCCATCGGGGTTTACAGGGAAAGCGGGTCCCAGGGGCGGGCAGGTGGGCGCGGAGCACACGCGGGCGGCCATCTCTCCTTTTGTTGCCTCTCAGGCTCTGTATTACGTTGCCCAGTGGATTACCGGGCTTACTTGTAAGGACTTCGGCCAAAAATCACACACGGCACCCCCAACTTTCCTGTTTGTTCTGAGAAGTCAGGAAAGTATGTGTTGTGTGTGTGGGGTGTGATTGGGTGCAGGAAAGGACAATGAGAGAGACCCGTGTGTGTGTGTGTGTGGTGTGTGTGTGTGTGTGTGTGTTTTGCAGGGAGGGGAGGGGCAGGCAGGGAAGACAAAGACAAATTCTTGACTTGGCCATGTGGATGGGGGACATGGACCAGACAAAGTCCTGGTGGTTGAGATGTTGTCCCACTTTTTAACCAGAAGGCCTCTGGGAAGATCTGATTTGGGAACCCCCACCCTCAGCTGCCTCATCCCTTTCCCCATCCCTTCCCCCCACATCGTGATCCCAGGGATGTTTGCCCCTGCACCTCTGGGACCATGGTGTGGGGGAAGGGACGGGGAAGGGGACGTTGCCCAGTTGATATCAGGCTTGCTTTCTAAGGACTTTGGC